AAACACTTCAGAAAATAAACAAGTAAGCAGTTATGACTGGAAATCTGACAAAAAATGTCAACATGAGCAAGAATAAAGAAAACGAAACACTCAGACTGAGGTTGGAGCAAGAGATTAAACTAGAGTGATTAACTAAGACAGCTTTTGAAAAGATTATAACGCAGTCCGTCCTGATGGATTTTAGATATCTTAGAAAAGTTATAAAATGCGCCTCTTGAAAGACATAACCGTTAAGCAGGAGTAAAATCGTCATGACTAACGCATACAAAAACGTGAAAACATCAGCCAGCATGGAAATAATCTACACATTTCAACATATTGTGCTTCACTTGCAGAGTTACTGAAACGGATCAACTTCATTGTTAAATTATTTCATATGACGGCTATCTGGACGGTTGAAGTGAAGCTCCTCCAGAGCGGTTTTCTGCTCCGATCTGAACGTTGTCGTCTGTTTGAACATATTTCCCCGCTGTGAACTGATGCAGCCACAGGTTAGATGAAAATGTGAGATTTGTGTCGAGACAAAGACTCAAGCAGTAAGAGAGATGAGCGAGTGAGGGAGGGGGTCAGGCTGGACGAGGTTAACAGGGCGAGATCAGGTGTGTGTGTGTGTGAATGTGTGTGTGTGTGTGTGAGCAGCAGATTGGTTAAATCTTAATGAAGCGTGCTGTGGAGGGTAAGGATGGACAGGGCCAGCTGTATTCAGGTGTGTGTGTGCATGCATGTGTGTGTGTGTGTGTGTGTGTGTGTGTGTGTGTGTGTGTGTGTGTGTGTGTGTGTGCATGTGTGGGTGTGTGCGTGCGTGTGTGTGTGTGACAGTAAAACTGATTAAAAGCAGCGTTAACATGTCTGACCGGGTACAATGGTCAAGAGGTGAGAGTGTAAACTACAGGGAAGCCTCGGTCTGGAACAATTAGACACACACACACACACACACACACATACACACACACACACCTACACGTACACACAGCAGCATATGGTGACTGAGGGCTGCAGTGATTGGTCACACATGCCCATAGACATGCGAGCAGAACCAATCAGCTGGGCTTCCTGTGTTTGACCTGACCCTTCCTGGCTGGTAATTGAATATTTTTTTTCAGCTGGGAGGCTGAGAGGTGGGAAAGGAGACAAGCAGCAGCAGGAGGAGAAGAAAATACAACCTCCTAACCTTATCTTATGAAACATTTCCTGCTTTTACGACAAAAATGAGCTCTTTCACCTGAAGATGTCAAAAATTATACAACAATTTAGGAATCTATTGAAGCGATTAAAATAAATCTGAAATAAATACAATATCATGTGTGGAAACAATGCTATTATTAATTTAAAAAGACAATGTCTCTGATATGTGGCGTCTGAATTTGACTGGATTGTTTTATTGTGAGTTAAACTCTGAATCTAGTTGGTTCTGATCTGGCTGGTTGTGTTGCTCCGACCCGAGACGGCGCCCTCACTGTGACCCCGATCAGGAACGGGCCAGTACCAAGGAATTTGAACCAAAAATTACATCAAACCTTGGGATGAAATCCTTTGTGAACTGACTAAATAAATTAATAAATAGAGTCAAAATAAATTCCAGAAGGTGGAGATGTTGCACATATATTCAATTTAGTTCACACTCAAAAAAAAAAAACCCTAAATACGTTAGAAGCTGCAGGTGTGAGGCACAAAGCTCCACTTTTCAGACATTTCTTAAACTTTTTCCTTCACAGATTAATATATTTGATTATGGAAATGATCCAAGTTGAATTAAACTAAATTAAATCACAACAAAGTGAAAACTGGTAAGTCAGGTTGTGGCATTTTCTATCACAAGCAAGCTGCAACATTTTATGGCATGTTATTAAAATAGTAATTATTATTATGATTATGACAAAAACACAACAGTGCAATGCTCCACTGTTTAATAGAGGTGGGCCAATTTTATCAATATTATTAGTCAAATCGGTATCAGCACCAGATCGATACTTTAATTTCAGATTCTGTGTTGAAATTTTATTTAATTTCTGTATCGTAGTTTCTCAACTCTAACTTAAAAAAAAAAGATTTTGCTTTTACTTGGTCTCAAATTACATATTTTTACACTTGTGGGAAAAAATGCACACACTTTGTTCTGTTTTTATGTTGTTTCTGTTTATTATTTTAACACTCTATTGATATATTTTATATGTATAAATTCGATCTAAAGTTATGTAACAAGAAGGACTACAAAACCATCAAAAGGTCAGAAGTTTGGTGATACAGAAAATTTAAATAACAAAAAGTATCAGTATCGTTATTAGTATTGTTATTGGCAATACAGCCCATGTATTTACGTTTTATTGGATCGTTACCAAAATATGAAGCATTGGAACTTTAATTGGACCTTTAAAGACCATGACTAAATAAAAATGTGTCTTCTTGGAGTCTAGCTGTGCACAGCACGATCCAAATACGAAGCAAAAATGATTACAGCTTACAGAGAAAAGAATCTCTCTTCATTTAAAAAAAAGCATTTTCTTTTAAAACTTCCAGTAAACAAAACATGTTTCACAAAATTAAAAAAGTTTTAAACTCCTCTGAAATATCAACACATCGATGGAAACATCTCCGAATAATTTGTCGATTGCATTTCTAATCGTTTTTGCCAAATTTACAATTTGTTACAACTGGTATTTGATATCATAATAACAAAAAAACAGCAACTTTTAGGTATTTAGAATATTAGGTTTGCATTTTCTTCCAACTGCTAAACTGCAGACACGTGAAATATCACAAACTATCACGATTTAGCTGTAAGTTTTTTTATGAATCAGTTATTATTCTGTGTGATGGAACAACTTTTTTCCTCCAGATTAGAGCGAGCACAGCGCCGGAACCAGCGGCCCGACGGATCACTCCTGTCATCGAGAACCGCTCCTTCAGGAGGCGTTAAAAGGAGCTACAGCGAGAGCCTCCTGGCATCAACACCTGGATGACACACACATACACAAAAAAAGTGTTTGTTTTTTTTTTTTTTTTACTCATCCAGAAGCAGCCTCTGCGCACATCTGGCGAAAACATCCCCGGCACATGAGCTGGGGATGAACGGAGCGGACGGAGAAATGGACTCTGACAGACTCCCCTCGCTTTAATCACGCTGAAACCCGAGAAGAAAGCCACAAAGGGTTAAAACAGACTCAAAACAACGAGCATCAAATACATTCTGTGGCTCTTACAGCAAAAAAAAAAAAAAAAAAAAAAAAAAAAAAAGAAAAAGGAGGGACGGGGAATTTTAATTTCATGTGATTTTAACTAAAGGCAGAAATGACTGACAGCTGTCGGATCACCGAAGGTCAGCTGCAGACAGGAACGGCTGAGGACTTACACCGAGGACGTAAACTCATCAAAGTTTCAAGTAATGAGCCAATTGGAGGCCCGTGTCAGCCTGATGATGATTGTGGATGCAGTTAAGTGTGCGCTGATGATGATTGGGTGGGACACAAACAGGGTCAGAGGTGAACGGGCGTCACTCAGGAGAAACTCGGCTGCTGCCGGAGTCCAAGTGCACAGATAGCCGTGCGCTTGGACGGCACCTGTAATCGCTCGCAGCTGAGACACGCTGCAGTGTGTGTGTGTGTATGTGTGTTTGTGTGTGTGTAATGGGGCGCTGGCATGCGAGCAGCAGAAGGCCACTTCCTCTTCAGGTGACACCTTTGACCTCTCATCTGTTCCTTGTTGGAGGAGGCAAAGTGGAGGAGGGAAAAGGATGGAAAAAGAGAGGATGGAGAGCAGCTTTAAATGTATTTAAATTAATAAATAAGTGTCATAACCGGACCCTCATAGTTCCACCATCAAATCTGACTCTAACTAAGATGGCCTCCTGAAATCCTGACTCAGGATTTTGTTTGAACAAACAAAATGTTTGTTTGTTCGTTCAGATGGAACAGAACAAACAAAAGGTTTCGCCAAACGTTTCCCAGGTGGTGACCGTCGGCTTCGGTTACGGCCTTGGAAGTCTCCAGTGGCGGCCATCTTTGCTCAGTCTCTTTCTTCCAGTGGAGAAATGAACACTGACCTGGCGGCTGCAGTTGTTCTGTTTTCTTTTGTTATGATGTCCTGACTCAGCCGTCGATGCTCTCCGAGGCTCATGTTTGTCATGTCTCCTTTCCGTAGAAGCTTCACCGTATTTTTTTTGTTCCATATTTTCCAGAATAAAATTGAGACAGCGGAGATCCAAAGCCTTAGAGATGACTCTGTAGCCGTCTTCAGGCAGACAGATATCAATATTCTCATCTGTTATTTCATTTCCTTACACTCGGTCATGATACGATGCTTTTTCATACCTCTTATCCCACTTCATGCTATCAGACGGGTTCTAATTCTACCCGGGTCCGGCTAGCAAAACCAGACTCCTCCGTCAAACAGAATGTGGCTAATCACACTCAACGGACTATTTCTCAGTGGAGGTGGGTTACTGTTTACATTTGTTGTTACATTTGGAGCTTTGGGAATAAACTAAACTGGCAACTTAACTTGGTTTATAAGTGAAATCTTTATAGGACAACTAATGAAAAAAAAAAACCCTGACACACTGGTTATAGTAGTAGAGTCACAGTAAGAAGCATAGAGGATCATCAGAAGTCTTCATATCCTAAAGGAAACATGGTGCAGGAAATGAATAAATACAATTTAAATACCTAAATATATAAATGCATTTCAAAAAGGTCACTTGCATTTTGTACATACCTGATAATCCACTAAGAATGAGGCATCAGCTGTTCACAGTGCAGCTAATTTTCCCCCACACTCATCCATGTATCGCTTGGAACAACAAAAGTCTTTTGTGACAAAATTAAAAGTATTATGTATTATTATTATTGTAATAATGTAAAGTGTTATTATGAAGCTGTGCAGTAAGAAGCAGGACTGTAATCATCCTCTTACCGTGCTCACCGTTGTTTCCTCACAGGAGGACAAAGAACAGAGTGTGTAGGCACATTGCTCTGTTTGCTATTTTGATTCTTTTCTTTTCTTTCTTTTTTTTTTTTTTTGCTTGTATTTCTGCTGGAGTTCTTCTTTCCCTTGCGTCTCCTTTCATTTCTTCATCCGTCTCCTTTTCCACTGCGTCTCTACGACGCTTGGTCTCTCACCTTAGACAGTCTCTTGGAAAGCTCCTCCTGGTTAACAGAATTAAAACAAAGCACTTTAAAAAAAAATATCCTGGTTCATAAATTTAAAGCGAGGATGATTACACACTCCTCTCACCCTCCAGCAAAGATTATTGAGTGTTAGCTGCAGAAAAACCACTGAAAGTCCCCACAGGATTACTAATGACTGGAGCTTAAGAAAAGCTGGAGCTCGAAAGCCTCTGCGCTGCGTTCACGCTCCTGTTGCCACCGAATGTGGAGCGGAGCTAAATGTGATCAAAAAACCCCAGAATGAGATGCTTGTTCCTTTTTCAAGGAATTAAACCAAACTAAACGCTGTGAAAACATTCAGCCTTTTCTCTTACTGCAAAAGGCGTAAAATATGCTTCTGTAACATATTTACCACCAGAGTAAACATGTTATTCCAAGGGCAAACTAAGGCATTGCTTAGGTCCGCCAGGCCAGCAGGGGCGCTCTTTAAATTCTTCTACGGCATTCATCTGTTCTTGTTTTCAAAAGCTGAGCTGCTGCCATCATTTCTACTGATTTAGTAGTTGTGTTTTAATCATTAATCATATTTATTCTAACTTGTTAACGCCATGCAAGAGTATTCACGCCATTTGAACTTAAAAAGTGAAAAAGTGCAATTTGTTGCTTTAAAACCACAAACATCAAAGCTTTTTATGTGATAGATCAACATGAAGTGGCACATTATAAACTTCTAGTTTATAATCTGGTTATAAACTATCTAGTTCATATACTTTGGATCAACATTATTAGATACTTTTTCTTCTTTTGCTCTTTCTTTTGGTTTGTTATTTTGTTTGTATTTCCTTTTAATTAATATAAAGCATTTTGAATTGCCTTGTTGCTGAAAATGTCTTTACCTTCCACCGGTAAAGAAAAGAGCTTTTCATGTTATATTTTTTAATAAATAAGAATAAATATGGAACATATCTGTATTCACCCCGCCGGGTCAATAATTTACAGCCAGTGGAACCAGAACTTTTTCATCAATTTTAATGAATTAGTGACTTAAAAAAGCTCCCATATCTTCCTCAAAGCTACTTATAAGTTAGGTTTGTGTTATTTTGACACCACTAGAAAGTAGACTGAAATAACTTGGTAAGATTTTGTGTTTTTGCAGTGATTAACAGCCTTCAGGAGGCAAAGCAGTCAATCTGAATCTGCTGTGCCAATGAGCTGATGGGAAACTGCGAACAGGTCTCCTTCAGGACCTTTTCTTCTTCTTGCCAGTCTATCAGAAAAGCCAGACTGTGAAATGTATGAGTAACAGTTGTCCTGTCAGCAGATTCAGCATAAAATCTGCAGCGTTCCTGGCATCACCATGAGTTTCTTCCTGGCTGATTAAAACGCTGCAGAGATCCAACAAATCCGTTATTATTCAACGTAAAATGAATGGCATTTTATTCAGCAAGTTATGTTTAAAACACTACTCCTTTTCATTCAAAACCTGTCTTTATTTTAACATGATATGTTCATCTTAAACTGTAAATGAATTAAGTAAACAAGTAATTTGATAAATATTTAAATTAGTGCTCTCAAACTTTGTAGATTTTCATTTGGAAAGTAGAGTAAAACATTATAAAACAGTCGGTTTACTTGTATTTCACAATCACGCGCAACAGAAACTTTTTTTGGCGTCAATTTCAAACAAAACTTCGGACGGCTACAGAAACTCTGTGCAGCGTGAAAACCCCCGATAAAAAGTTGAAGAAGAAGAAATAATTAGATGTGTTCCCCTTCATGTGGAAGGTCAGCCACAACAGGTCAAGCTGATTATCCATGGAACTGTAACCAAGCGTATTCGTCGAAAGTTGAGTGGAAAGAAGAACTGTGGTGGGAAAAGTTGAGTTACCTGCTCGGCTGAAGCCACAGTGGAAGTCACGGGGGACGTCTGTCCAGGAGGAAGCGCCAAGCTGAGATCCAACCTTAACAGAGACAAACGTGGTTTCACAGGAGGACAAATGTGATAAAATAAACTCCACCTTCACTACAGACGTCTCTAACGTCTCTGTCTATGTTTAAAATCAGCTACGGACCAACCAAGGACCTTACCCCGCTTCGTCAGCCATCTCTCGCAGAAGCATGTCCACTTCGTTCTGCAGACAAAGAGATCGAATCATGACCCGTCAGCAGTCTGGGAACTAACGGAGGTCGTTACCTGCGGCGTGGTGAGGGTGGATGTGCTGCCCATGGTGTCTTCCATCAGCACCGCCTGCACGTCCATCGTCTCAAAGTTCCTCTCAAACTGGTTCATCAGGGCCGAGATCTGAGCAGAAGGACCAAAGAAACTCAAACTCACGTAGAAGCATGAGAAACAGACAGGCTTCAGCTTTTTTCCGATACTGTTGGTAATTATGGCTTACAGTTTATAAAAATCCAAATTATTTGACCGTGTTGTAGCCCAGACAACTTGGAGGCAGAAGGCTGACTCGACAGTTTCCCAGCAGACACTGACATGCTCCAGAAGCAGGGAAAGCCACTACAGGTCACAGAGGGCTGCGTCCAAGTATATTCATAGAAAAGTTAAGTGGAAGGAAGAAGTGTGGTTGCAAAAACAGGGATAACTGTAGCCTGAAGAGGATTGTCAAGCAAAGTATATTCAAAAATTTGAGGGCAGCTTCATGGACAGAGGCTGGAGCAACAAGTCCTCTTTTCAGATGAAAGTAAACTTTACGCTTCATTTAGAAAAGATGTGGAGAGGCGAAGAATAAACGCTGCTTGAAGGGGGAAGTTTCCACAGTCGATGATTAGTCAGGGTGCCATGTATGTCATCTGCTTCTTGTCGGTTCTCTGGGTTTTCTAACACTGCCATTTACTAGGACATTTTAGAGCTCTTCATGTTTCCTTTGGCTTAAAATCTTAATGAAGATGCTGGTTTTTATTTCCGGTGGGTCTTGGTACCCGGCCGACGCTGCCACAGATACTAACAGCTGCTTCAGTGATCAAGGTAGCTCTGGACTTGACTGGCCAGCAAAATGGCGGTATGGCGGTGATCACCACCATGCCGCACAGACGCAGTATTGAAGGCTATTACGGACAATATTTCTTTTTTTTTTTTTATTGGTCGAGGGTAATGTAATGTTTTATTTTTCTGAGAAACGTTTTATTATCTGTAAGCCATAATAATAAAAAAATTAACAGAAAGAAACACTTCAAATACTGCGTATCTCCGTTTGTGAAAAAGTTATTTAAATTCATTTCACTTTTTAAGCTTTTTTATTTGGATCTCTGCTTACCTTTTCCAAGTTCATGCTTTTCAGAGTCGCATCCATCGATTTAAAAACTGCTGACATGGATTTAGTGACCTGGGTGGGAAATGCACAACACACAATGCTGGTTGTTGAAGACAAAAAAGAAAAAAATCAACACAAATAAGTGCAAATAATAATAATGAAAAGGAGAACATGAAAACGATTACTCCTAACAAACCTAGAAGTGCTGTATCTCTATCTGTCCACTAGGTGTCGCTTTAACTCTTCTAACCAGGCGCCTGATCGCGCTTAGCGCCTCTTATTTTGAAAGCCTCCTTAAAAGCTCCAGGATTACGGATTAATATGATGAAAATGAGCCCAGACTCGGCTGAATGAGGCGCTCTGAATGGTTTTATGACTGATGCTTTCGTGTGCCTGCTTAAGGAGAGGCGGCGATGAGCAGAGCCTCTCGGAGGAGGTGGGCTTCAGCTATACAAGCTCACACCCTACGACTGTCTCTGCAGACATTATTAAATAGGATCATTTCTATAAAATGGCGCCTCCGCCATAGAAAACTTAAATTAAAGCAATTTTGAAAGAGGGCACCTCTCCTAAAGAGCGACGAGCTAATTGCATATGGCCTGAAGCACATCTAATGACATTATGTAATTGCTGTCTTTTTGTATGCCTGTCTGCTAGTCTTTTTTTTATGCTTACTCGGGAAATGGCTTCTTTTTCTGTAAAAAAAAAAAAAAAAAAAAAAGGGCTTCAGAGTAAACACTGAAATCTATACGCTCAGTAAATTGTGAGGTATAAAGAACTCGCATCTTAAGATAAGGGCTTTTTGTTATTGCAGGAGGTTTAATTGGTGGTTTATAATTGGGCCTGCATGGCTGCTTGTCTCGTGGTTCTATGATGAAGTGGAAACCTGTCTGAAGTTTGTTTCTCACCCAGTTATCCCCGCTTTGTGATAAATAACCGGATTTTTCAGGTATAAATAACGAATGGATGGATGTATTTCTACGAGCGTCTGATTCTTTCGTACGTGGCTGAAGGAGAACTATGAAATATTTTTAAGCAACAACTCTGTTTTTCAGAGAGAGTGTGAGTCACTCTGAAGATACACGGCCTTGGGAAAGTATTCATGTCTATTAAAATTCTTCCGATTTTGTCATCACACAACCACAAACGTCAACGTACGAGATGCAGCAGATACACTTCAGTATTTCACATCAAACTAATTTAAATATTAGTCAAAAACAAGGCAAGTAAACACAAAATGCAGTTTTTAAATTAAGATGTCTATTATTAAGATAGGAAAAGATCCAAGCCTACATCACCCTGTGTGAAAAAGTGATTACTAAACTGTTAAAACATAACTTAAAGGGATAGAATGATGTGTTTTCCAGGCACATGGTGACATTTCATAGGATAATCAAGTAACTATGTTATTTTCAGTTGTCATAAAAACGCAATATACATCAGATACGACTTAAAAGAAATTTTACTTCCTGATTTAGCATCTTGAAATTGGACCTCTCTCTTTAAAAGCTCCTGCTCTTTCTGAAATTCTGCCTTCAGGAAGTCATCACAACATGGCTCCTCTATTCACCCTTTAGCAACGTTTTTACCAGCGTTTTTCTGAGAAGTAGCTCCTATAGTGAGCTCAGCTGATGCTCAATTCCGCCAGCTGTTTGCTAATTGCTGCTGGCTAGTCTGAAGGAGCTGAGTGGGAGAGGGCTGCTCTGGGAGGTGGAAGCCCAAAAACTGCAGCTCTGAAGAGGAGCTCCATCTTCAAGGCAGAGCTAGGTCCAACCAGGCGATTTGCACAGCTGAATGGTTGCCATGGAGACTAAAGGATTTCTCAAAGGAAATGCTCCAGGTGTGTTTATGATGAGGGACTAAAATTATAGCAAGAAGTTCAGCTCATAAAAGTAAATTTTGCATAATACTACCCCTTTAAAAATGTGTATTCATGCAAAACACTATGTCTGACTTGAAACTACATCCTGGACAGATGTTCCCTACTGAGAAAGATGGGGGTGGAAGCACCTCACATACCCATAAATGAATCATCATGGTTGTCAGGGCCAAATTTACAAGGATGTGGACCCCTGAGCTGGAGCCAGTTTTGGTGCCCTTTCTACTAAATTATTTCACATTCCCCCTCCAATACATCAGATGCTCCACAAAAAATGTACTCTATCTTCATAATTTCCAAATAGTTGAGTATTGTTTATATTCATATGCACCTCATATGAACCTCTACGTTTTGCAAAACACGGCCTTCATTTAAAAAAAAAGAAACTAAAAATCTGTGTTGGTCGTGGGATACTGCCGCTGGCCCAGATGACAAAATCTGAAAACGTTCATGGGTAATGATGAATACTTCAGAAAGACACTACAGGAGTCCCACTACTCTCAAAAAAGATAACATCTGTTTTTGTGTAAAAGAAAAAAAAAACCCTTATGTAAAACCAGCGCTCATTTGCAAAGAAAACAGAGAAAACCTGGTTCATAGTGACAGCAGTCTGGACCCTAGAGGCCACAGCGTCCACACGGGCACTCATCCTCAGTAAGTTAATGGACTGGTGCTTCTGACGGATGGCGTTCTCTGCATGGATCCTAGCTACCTCGTTGTTTCCCTTCTGGATAGCCTAAGAAACAACCAGGCACATTTACTTCCAACAAAGGTTACAGCTGTACTGTAGCCTGTCATCTGTTAGACACAAAACCAACCTTCTTTGCTTTCGCCTTTTCTGCTTTCTCCTCTTTGTCACATTTCTTAGAGTTGTGCTGCAGCTCCTTGGCAGCAATCTTGAGGTTAAACAAGTGTTCTTGTAAAAGCTAGTCAAGGGACAGTTTACGACAATATTCCAGTTATAGTGGAAATTATGTTTTTACTGACGCAACAGTGGAACATTTGGTAAATTAAAGCCAGGTCATTGCAGGGGACAGAAGGATGTGTTTTTTTCCCCCCTTTTCTTTTTGAGAAACTAGTCAAAAATTAACCAAAGTCATTAAACATCTCGGCAACAACACAGCAGCTGTCACTGTTTTCCTTCCTCGTTCAATGACGGAGGAGGGGAGAAGTGGGGGAGAAGTTACAAGGAGCGTGTACGGCAGGGCTAGCTAGGGACCAAACACAGTTTATGGTTAGCAACGGTTGCTACAGTGTAAATGTGTGCGTGTTCCGCGGTGGGCGACAAAGTACACAGAAAGGATACTCTCCATGTTCGACATGGTGTGGGTGGCTTTCTGGGACGAGTTAGGTGCTGTTCAAAAAGACAAAGAGTCATTCAGTCAAGCGCTGGCTTGTTTAGATTTTTTTTTTTTTTTTTTTGCAAGTGTAACGGGAGGGTGCACTTGTTCTCACTTCCGCTTTTGTTTATGTTCAACGAAGCGGCAGTTTAATGATAAACAGTAAACCTAAGACTTATGTTTTTTTTGTTTTTTCTTTATAGCTAGCATTAAAAAGAAAAGCAATTATGATGATTTATCGCAAGCTTAAAGTCGTCTTCAGTTAATTTAATCCGTAATATTATTTTGACGTGTAGTTCGGTTTCACATTGATTTGTAAATATTGTTTAATTATGCTAAAGTTTTATTATAGAATAGAATAGAATAAAATAGGACATGCTATATTGATCCCAAAAGGGAAATTGCTTAATTATAATGATTTATAATTTTTTTATTTCATGTATCTGAATTAAATATTTCTCTAATATTTAGTTATTTTGTTTTAGTTTCAGAGATTCCTCCTTTATTGACGTCTCCTCTGTTGTGTATTTTTGTTTTTGTTTTCTTTTTATGCTCTTTATTACATTTTCGCACAGTAAATAGAGCTTTGTCTTACGGACTATATTTTCTAGATTTTATTTCATTTTATTTTTACTTTCCTGATGCCGGGATGCGCTAGAACCGACTAGATCCCAGTACGACGGCTGGAGAACGTTGGGTGAACTATCTTCATTCGCCATTATCTTTGGATGAAATTGCTGCTGCGTCTGCCAACATTTCACCGTCGTCACACATGATCACGATCTGCACGACGTGCTCGCGCCCTCTACGTCACGACTGTTCGAGAAGTGGACAGGCGCGCGTGTCCAAAGTTCTATGGTGTCTAAAAATAGTTTATAACCGGTATCGGTAGGTTGTGGGACATGTCTAGTGACGTCATTAGTGCTTTTTTGTGAGGGAGTAAATTGACCTTTTCTACAAGGCTGCTTTGATGTTTCCGTGCGTGCGTGCGTGCGTGACGACGCGCTCAGTCGTGTTTATTTTACTTTTTCATCCATTATTTTTAATTACGCCTGTGGAGAGAAAGGCTGGCCAAACAGGATTACAAAAGATGTTTGTGTTTGTATGCGTGTGTTTGTGTGCGTGTGTTTGTGTGTGTACTAAAGACATGGGACATAAAATGTGAGTATTAGGAGGCGAAATAAGGATCACTGCCCAGATAGAAAAAGGTTCCAGTGAATGGACGGCGCACTGGCCATCCGAAAAGGGCTGGGGACGGGGCGGTGGGGGATTAGCGCTTTGGTCTGGGGGAGGGAGCAGAATGGATGACTCATACTGTAGACAATCTCCTGGACATTTTGTGTAGACACAGCTTCAGATAGAGGCCCAAAGATGTTCCTCCGAGAGAGAGAGAGAGAGAGAGAGAGAGAAAAGGGGAAGCACATGAGAACTGTTTAAAAATTCAACTCTCTAAAATAAACAGCCAACAGGATTCTGGTGGCAGGATTTTCTTTATTATATGGCTCACCACCCAGGGCGCCAATGGTGAAGTGGTCTGCTGCTGAAGATAATAGTTTTATGTTATTCACTGATTTCTATTCTATACTAAATTTATTCACACTTTCAATGTTTTTAAGGAATTTCAACTTCATTTGATTCACTTTAGATGCAAGTTTAAAATATTTAGTTTGATCCACTTTGAACTAGATTATGCCACCCTGAACAGAGATTACTTGATCTATCATATTATGTTCCACACTGTTTACAGATTCCTTAAAAAAACTGTTTTGATTTGTGAATCCTTAACTTCATTTCTGAAATCTAAAATGGCACTTATTCATGAAACAGCCATGTTGTGGTAATATATAATAATGTGGAGGGCATAGATTTGGAGGCAGATTTTAAATATTGGAGCATTACAATAATGTTTAGGTTACTTTTTTTTTAAATGGCCACCATCTTAAAATAAAAAAATGGAGGTACATCATAACAAAAGTATTTTACCCAAAACAGAATTTTATAATTTTTTCCTTTACTTTTTGTATGCAGCCACTTGAAAACGTTAACTATCATATTATACATCATCGGTCGAATTGAAAACATTGCCCTCACCTTCAGGTATCCTGAAGTTCCCCAAAGCCCCAGCTCTGAGGAATGGAGTCTCTCACAGCTTAAATGAGAAGTTGTTTTAAAAATTTACAGCTCAACCAAGAGTGCGATCGTAAATCCAGCAACTGGAAGAAAAATGAGAAAAGAAGAGCCACTCACTGGTAATTAACGTCGCTCTGTGTGAATTCACACGTTTTTCAATTCAAGCCCCTATTTTGTCCCAACACATTGCAACACATTTCTTTCTGTACTACTTTGTAAATGTAAACAAACAATTTCAAAACCACATACCCATACTAGGATGTATGAGATTACTTTCTATTGCAAACTATTGTTAAGAATTATTATGATAAATGGTCAGAAAATGTCTCAGTTCTGATGCATTTATTTACATATAAATCTCTGAAGACTTTGTGATACACCCTGTTTCCGTTTATCGTATCTCTGATCCATATTTGGCTAGTTGACTCTTATCAAATCTAGACCCCAAATCAAACCAAAACGCCTCTAAGTGCTGGAATATATTTATTGGAATCAAATTATCAGATTTTCTCACAATAACTTATATTAAAAAAGAATATAAGTTATATATAAGAATATTTAAAAAAAAACAATTAAAATCTTAAGTTGTCAAAAGGAGAATCATCCACCTGAACTGACTCATGGCTAATAGGATCTCAGTAAATTGCACTAAAAAAGCAAAAAATGAACGTATTCCTTCATTTCAGCCAATCACGCACGTTCCTGTGTTCCGGATGTGACGTGAGAGGTGTTAGCCAAACAGGAAAGGCAGAAGAATGATGGCCGAAAGCAGGTTCGTTTTTTGTTTTGTTTTGTTTTTTAACAAAAAACGGGCAGTTGAATATAAATGCAAAATATGTATTAAGAATCATACACTTATAATAATGCCTAAACAGGTTTATAAAGTTAAACTGTGAAATTATGTTTTAAAGGCACTTAGTGGATTCTTCTTCTTAAATCACTACAGGAACATGTTCACATACAGATATGCGCATGCTTAATTGTTACAGATATGGGCCGTGAGTGGAAAACTCTTGAATTTTTTTTTCTGTATTTCAGACTGAGAACTCAGAAAACTAAACTTTCGAGAGTAAGGAAAACACACCATAATGACTGTCTTATTTGTGGCTGTCATGGGGATTTAAAGGGGTGGCCATTATGTCCCGCGGCTCTTCCATGGCGGCGCCTCTGATAGCCTATTGACTCCTAAACTCAATTTAAGCAGCACACCTGCTCATATTAGAGTATATTCTCCTCTTAACTAACTGGTTATTATTTAATAAACGCGGGGTTCACACACAAATTAGTCATACACATTCATACTTACACACGCAAAGTAGCTCTTATACGGTAACGCCCTCTTTTCCCATCGTTATCGTTGCGAGCACGCACCTCCACCACACATACACGCTTCCCCCCACCCCCAGTCATAACTGAGTGACGGCAGGTCGCCATGGAAACTGCGTTACGCTCCAGGCGGCCGAGGGAGAGAAAACAAGAGCGCGAGGAGTCGTTTCACTCCTCATTTCAGCACCACGCGCCTCCGGGACAGCGCCCGAATGAACTCGCGCGTAGATTCGAGCGTCGCGTGCCTTATAAGGGACAGAGCCGAGTCAGCACCAAGTCCGACCGAAGTGGAGTGAGACGTTAGAAAACAAACACACACACACACACACACACACGAACTTCTCCGAACCTGTAGCTCGGTGGACGGTGAAGGTCTTACTCCACCCGCGAGCCAGGAGCTAGTCGCTCCCTCCAACAACACAGCAACAGGTAAGAACCCCCCTTTCCTCCACAAGGCTATAGGTGAAGTTTTTAATCTGCTAACCCTGACCCTGCGCCGTTTGCGCTTAATTGCCTCCCCGGCGCATCTCAGGTGTAAATAAGTGGATGATGAAATGATTAGCGGGAGGGCAAAGCAAAACCCAACATGACTCTTCTCAAAACGCTCCGTTTCATCTTGTTAAACTCTCTAAATGCAAAACAGCCCAAACTTTAATACCCAGCAGCTGGGTAGGTAATCAGAATCTACAAGCTCTGTTTATTCTTGGACACTGATAGTCTACTCACGTGTTTTTTGCTCAAATCTCAAAACTTTATGCTGTCAAAACCAGAAAGTTGTTTTTTGTTTTTTAAGGCTTATGCTTACCAAGAACAACAAGAGGAACAACATAGCTGTATCTAGATTTGTTGACCTGTGGGCTTCTTTAGGTGGGGTGCTCAAAAAGCAAGCGGAATACGTCTTTTGTAGATGATGTGTTTACATCTGTTTCTCATGCAGCTCGGTGCAGGGAGCCTGAGCTTTTTGTTGTGTTTCCAGTGGCCATAGATTATGTGCATGCTGAGCCGATACGCCTGGATGAGTCACTCAGCCTGCAAGTTTGCTGAAGAGTGCGAATATGGGAGGATTGGGGAGAGAGGATGGAGGGGGGTAGAGACACAGGGATACAGGGGCCAGCAGGAATATAGTCCTGCACTGTCTTGTCTTCTCAAGACATTGCTTTGTTGTGCATGTGGTCAGAGGCAGCACATGGGAGCCCTGTTTATTGATTCAGGATGTGTGACTGTTTCGCCAATTGATCTTGCTGAAGTTGGATGCAATTGTCTCATCAGATCAGATAACTTCTTTAATGTTGTTGTTGTTGTTTTTTTTTTTAGGGCTGCCGTTTGCTGCTTTAGTGTCCGAACTGCAGTGTCGCTCCAGTGTTTGTTGATGCATGCAGTCTGGATTAAATTATATCCATACACTCCCCATAATAAATTGTTTGCGGTTGTACCAAACTGTAGCCTTCTGGTGTCAGTCAAGCTGATACCAGAAAGCATCCCATTACTGCTCATTAGTATCCTGGTCTTTAGCCCACTGTTATTGACAAATCATAGCAATCAGCAGCACTCAGCTGTAGCCTAGAGTGACAGCTATTGATTAAAGCAAACAAAAGATCATAATGGGCTAGCATGAACCACAGTTGCTCATTCAGACATGAGCGCTCGCTCCGCAGAAACACTTCGACAGGCTCAGGCAATTGCACGCTTAATCATGTTACACTATACCGCCTGGGGAGACTTTGGTTGGATGCAAAGGAAAAGCTGTGTGCAGATTAAATGGGGGATGTAGGAGCTCTGGGACAACTTCATGCAGAAACGAAGCTCATAAAAGGCTAAACTAAAAATGAATAAGCTGCTGTGAAATTGTTCTGGTGAGTTTTGTAACTTTCAGAGAGGCGTTTTAGTAAAGTTTTCCCTTCCTCGTAGGAGCGCTGTGCAAGTAGCGTGTGCACATCATGTGCTGCACACACAAAAACAGATGTGTGTCTTTAATTAGTGACGTTGGCGTGATTAATGCAGTCTGCTGGTGATGACTCATTCCGATTAACCCTTGGTCCCCTGGTGGAAAACAAAACAAAAAAAGATTTAAATTTAGAACACATCCATTAAAACAAACTGTGCCTTTAATTTTCTATGTGATAGATTCTAATCAGGTAACAGCAAAAATGAAAAAATAAAAATTACTGATAAAAAAATAAAATGGCATAAGTTGTAGGTGGTAAACACTGTAATGTGTTTCTGGCTTCAAAAACCACCCCTTAATTTGTTGTTGGGCAATGGATGGATATTTATCCAAAGCACATTTCTGTGCTTTGCTCCATGTGTCAGTTTAGCAGCACAGCAGTTACATTAGCATTGTAGGAAAGCTGTCAGCCAAGCTGTGACTTGCAGACAGCAGACTGGCAGGGAGCTTGCATCCGAGCACTACAGAGTGCTAAGTGTGTGCTTGTGTGACAAAATGCGACTGCATGCGAGTTAAACATGTAGCACCTCTTGATGAGGAGTTGTAATAAAGTGTCATTACCACCCTGGCGCTCTTCCCCCGCAGGGCAGGAAGCATGTCTGAGAAGAAACCCAGCCAGCGGTTTCACAGCCTGAACTCAGAACAGGTGGAGGTGCTGCATCAGGTGCTTTCAGAAGTGGTGCCCATCCACGGCCGCGGGAACTTCCCCACACTGGAGCTGCGACCCCGTGATATTATCATAGCGGTGCGGGCCAGGCTGCAGAAGCAGGGAATCACGGTCAGAGATGTCCGTCTGAACGGCTCCACGGCCAGCCATGTCCTGGTTCGGGACAACGGGACGAGCTACAAAGACCTGGACATCATCTTCGGAGTGGAACTGCCAAGCCAGGAGGAGTTCCAGGTGTGAATTCTTGTGTGTGTGTTTTTTTTCTTACACAAGTTGAGAAAAAGCAGGCATTAGCATCAGGTCTTCTATTTTTATTCCAGCATTAGATGTCCTATACTGTGACAGTTAATGCTAGCCTCCGATAACAGCTGAGGAACATTTACTCTGATTTTGTAAGGCCTGCCTTGTGCTTGACTGCACCTCTTTACTCTTAGCAAAGCACTTAAGGTTGACATATGGAGTAAAATTGATGTGCTTTCTTTTAAATTCAGAAACTTTCCATCATTTAGCTGCACTTATATAAGCAAACAAAGAAGTGTCACATTTAGGCCTTAGCTACATTGCTCAAGATGTTTTTGTTCTCCATTGTTAAAAATAAATTATTATAGTCTGTGAGATTTTAATCAAAAACACTGTGATACCAGTGCCACAGCAGTAGGGGGCGATAACAATCACCATGAACAAAATCAAAAACAAAATACAAAAAGTATTCAGAGAACAACTGAAGATGCACTAGGCCAAACACTCAAATAATTGTAGCTCCTCTTTTTCTAAACAATATTAATTATATGCTTTTAGTTATTACATTTTTTATGTTACATTGAAATCTAAAGTTAGGGCTCAACAAGTGCAAAAAAGGCTGTAATTTCAGCTTTTGGAAAACAGGGTCCAAACACAGCTGTTTCCATTTTAGAAAATATATCTGGTCGCGCGAACACTGCTTTAGTTAAACAAGGGAAGCGAAACTACACTCTGGTCACTGTCAGTGGTTGAAACTGTCATGTTGTTGACCTCTTCTTCCCCCAGGTCATCAAAGAGTCCGTGCTGGGCTGCTTGCTGGACTGCCTGCCCGTCGGGGTCAACAGGGAGCGGATCAGCAGCGCCACAATGAAGGAGGCCTATGTTCAGAAAATGGTCAAAGTTTTCAACGAACACGACCGCTGGAGTCTTATCTCGCTGTCGAACAACAGTGGCAAAAACCTCGAGCTCAAATTCGTGAGTGCCCTTCGGCGCCAGTTTGAGTTCAGCGTTGACTCCTTCCAGATCATTCTGGACCGACTCCTAGAGTCTTACATGCAGCAGGACGTCATGCACAAGCTAAATGCTGTTAAGCTGAAGGACCAGTCAGCAGAAAGTGAGAGTAACTCCTTTTCACCTGAGCCCAGTCAGACCTTCGCTCCAGATGCAGAGAAGCCCACCGTCCACTCGTCCGATGAGCAAGGGGGCAAGCTAAGTGGGACAGAGCCGAGGGAGGAAGTGCATGAAAAAGAGTCTCAGACTGAATTCTCACAACAAGCTGAGCATTCAGAAGAAACGAAAAGCTCCAAAGGAGACAAAGGGAAAGCATCTGCAGAGATGGACTTGTCTGAGCACAAAGGCAACTTGAATGATGAAGAAAAGGCACAAATGAACGCCGGGTTAGAAAAGAAACAAGCTTCTGATGAATCCGAGCCACCGGCTCAAACAGAAGCTAAATGTAACTCTGAGCTTGTAGATCAGTCTCAGCCGTCAACGACAGCAGACAAGCTGGAGGAAACGAAGTCCTGCGATGGCCAACAACCAACAGGTTCAAATCTCAAGGAAGCCTGTGTCCAGAAAGAACTGGCTGACTACACAAAACCGCTTGATGAAAAGAGAGAAATCGCAGGGCAGATGGGACGTTCTGATACGCCTAATGCTTCTAAAATAACTCCGGCAGAGTGTCTAAACCTTGCAGAGGAGTCCGACAGCACCGAGCAATCTGATAACACAGACTTATCTGAGCATTTCATAGAGGATCAGAGAAGCAATGAGGCAGATAACACTCAACACGTGTCTGCCTCGGACACATGCACATCTTCATGTGCAAAGATAGAGGCGGGGTTAGAAGATGAAGGCAGAGTGGAAACAGAGAACAGGGAGCAGATTGAAGCAGAAAGGGAAAGTGATAGAAAAACGTGTGAAATCACACAGGAGTTTTCAGCATCAGAGGAGAAACATTTAGAAGACACACAGAGTATTGATTGTTCCTGCTCCACCTCTTCCACTCTTCCACTCAGCAGCACACGGCCCACTGACACGGACGATACACTGGAGATTCACAGCGCACAATCCACAGGTAACTCAGAGGAAACAGCTAGCCCTTCTGATCCCATCAGCCCTTCAGATACTCAGGATAATTTACCCACACCACCTGGCCTTGTTTCTGACAAAAAGACCTCCTCCTCTCCTTCTTCTAAGGTCTCTGACAGACTGTCTCACATGGTGGTGCTTAAACATTCATCCCCGAAACCCCCGAGGCGGATGTGCAGAAAGGTCACGCCTAGCGCTCACTCCAGCCGAGTGTCTGAAAGTGAGCTTGTTGTTGCAGCCTACACAGATTTAAACCCTTGCCCTGCAGGTGAATCCAGCAAAGAGTTTGATGTGAAGCCAGTGATTCCCACTTCAGACCCTTCAACTGTCCCAACAAGTATCTCTCTCAAACCAAACTCTGGACCTGAACTTGAGCTTTCAAGTTACTCATCTTCAACAAGTATCTCTCTCAAACCAAACTCTGGACCTGAACTTGAGCTTTCAAGTTACTCGTCTTCAGACCCTGATCTTACCTCAGCTTCTGATCCAGACCCTGAGATACTTTTTCCATCACCTCCAGACCCCACATCTCCGTTACCTCAAGAAGTATCTTCCTCTAAGATGGACACGACTGATTTGTCTGAATCGAGCCTGAAAGAGACGTTAAACACACCCACAGATATGGATGAGCAAATTCAGTCCTGCATGAAACAAGGGGTCTTTGAACCCAAAGAATCAGAGCCTCTTGACTCAGCGGACACACCCAGCACCAACACCCATGACCCTGAGAAAAAAGCTTTAGAGTCTCCAGCTGGGACAGGGGAACAGACCAGAGAAATGAGCTTGAATCAGCCAAATGTCACTTCACAAGAAACTACTCCAAGTTTACCGTCTTCCCATACCATCATCCCCCCAGTACTCAGCCTGTCTCCTCCTCACTACACACCCTCGCCCCCTTGTCCCAGTCCTCCCCCATGTTTGACTCCCCCATCTCCAATGTTAAGCACCATGAGCCCGACAAGCTTTAGCTCTCCACCCCAAAGTTTCAGCCCAACCTCTTCTTGCCTCAGCTCACCTCCTTACCTCACTCCTCCGATGCTCAGCCTTAGCCCTCCCCCACTCTGCGCGACGCCGCCGTCCCCCTGCCTCAGCCCTCCCCTCCTCTGTTTCACCCCGCCAGTAGAGTCTGGTGACCTTTTACCTCAGGGATCTTCGGATACAGAGTCTTTGATAATAAATGCAGATGAGAATGAGCATGGCGACCTGTCCTCTCCTCAGTCAGGAGTTTCGCCCTTAGAGTTGGAGGAGACAAAGGAAAATGGTTATATCTCCTCTTTGCCTCAGGTTGTCGAGCCTGTCTCTTTTCCAATCACAATTCCAAGTTCCACCTCACCAGTTCTGCCTCACCCTCAGCCTGGGGATTTAGCGGTACCAACCCCTCCAAAAGCCACTGAGGCATCCATCACTGTGCCTGATGATAAAGACGTTCCGAAAGCAGCCCCAGAAATAACTGACCTGTGCAGTCCCTCTCAAGCATCAGATTCAGTGCCTGCAGTTGAGGTCTTGGCAGAGAGCATGTATGGGGACTTTGAGGCGGCAATGGACCACCTGCGCTATCGGCTGATTGCCACCAGAAACCCTGAAGAGATCAGAGGTGGCGGTTTGTTGAAATACAGCAACCTGCTGGTCAGAGACTACCGGCCAGCCAGCGAGACTCAGATAAAGACGCTGGAGCGATACATGTGCTCGCGCTTTTTCATTGACTTCCCCGATGTACAGGAGCAGCAGAGGAAAATTCTGTCTTACTTGAAGAACCACTTCATCGGCGAGGAGAGGAGTAAGTACCAGTACCTGATGACCCTCCGTCGGGTCATAGACGACAGCACGGTGTGCCTGATGGGACACGAACGGCGTCAGACTCTGAACATGATCACAGTTCTTGCTCTGAAGGTTCTGGGCGAACAGAACATCATACCCAACACAGACCATGTGACGTGCTTCTACCAGCCAGCCCCATACCTTGCCGAGCACACAGCCCCGTATCTGGCAGAGCCTAGCTACTGCAGCTACTTCATACCACAAGGGGGATCGACTCTGCTGTACCAACCTTACCCTTTACACCTCCACCCACAGACTGGACTAGTCTGAGACAATGTGGCATAAAAAAACACACACACAAAAGATTGAGGGGGATTGTGCTCACCACAAGGGAAGAGCTGGAGAATGGAAAACTAATCCAGGGATGAACTGTTTGGTCTATAATAGACCTGTGTGGGTGGAATTGAGTGGGTTTCACAGTAAACTTCTTGAGAACTCTATAAGGTTCTAACATGATTATATGTAATTATATCCGGGCTTTGTGGGAAAATAATAATTCTTCCGATATTGTTCAAATTCCAGAAAATGCCGTATGCACTGCATGAGTCATAGGTCTTTGGTCTCCCTGGGAAACCAACTGTGCTGTTGACATTCACACACATCCAAACACACATGCCGGTGTGTGCGTGCACACTGCCATGTGGACACACACAGACACACAAACACACTTCCAGGTTCTTAAATTGTTGTTCACTCCTTTCATGGTCTTACTGTGTTGTTCTTAATGCGTTTGTTCAGAACGTGGACCTTGCCTGTGGTTGATATTGTGCATGGATACATTAGGACTGTTTTTTCACTGCCAAATACTGTGTGACTACTATGCTTCTCAGACAGTTTTATGTAACTTTGTCAGTCCTTTACAGAAGGGATGTTTTATGAAAAAAACAAACAAACCACAGCGTGACGGGGCTACCAGTGTGCGCAGCGTTTTCATGAGAGGATGAAACACTGTAACGCACTCAACGTTAGACGATGCACGAGTAGCTTAATAGATCACATTTAAAGTCAATTAAAGACGTTTAATTTATTAGAAACTGATCTATTTTTGCAAGACTTTCCGAGACTAAAAGTACTGGTTAGTACCAAAAGAGAAATGCCAACAACAATGCCTTTGATGTAGACTGTACAGCATATCGGTTACAGTATTTCTTGTGCAAATACAACGTATTGTTTTCAGGTAAACTGTGTTACAATGTAGTGCTTGTTTCCTTTTCCCTTGTGGAATCCTTTCTGTAACCATGTGAGTTATTGTACCATCTTGTGTTGATTTAAATATTGTTCAAGTTTACTCAGTGGAGGTTGCCATGTTATAACCATCTTTGGGTCATCATCAAACAATGCAGGTACAGAAGATCTGCCGTTGCGAAAGAACTTTTTTGCGTAAACTTGCATGATCGCTGTCTGATTGCACCATAACCAACACCGATTGAGTTCAGACAGCCCATTTGAACCTGCGTAACAGCAACTACGGCCAAAGATGGTTTGGTTTGGAAAACAAGTGCCTAACTGTGAGACATCGTCGGCATGTCTTTATCTTACTGCACTGTGGGTGTTCAAGGGGGTGGGACCAGGGCTGGGATGGGTCTATGTTCAGTTGTTTGACCCCTGTTACTGCTGCCCATTTTGATGTCTTCTTTAATGTAGTCCTTTGTTGTATTTTATTCGTGTACGTTTTGATAAAATAAAGGAAAACAAATCAGCAAACCTCAAGGTGTGAGAGAAGCTAACTTCTTCCTATAAAAAAATCTAATATTCCTGTTTTTGTTTAGGTTATTTTGTCTTTTTCCATGATGTACACTCAATCCCCTCCTACAGCACCATTCCCCGAAATGACACACTGCACAACTTGCGCATCTTCCCCATGATTACGCTCTGCAATGATCCACTTAGGCGTGACCGTCAAATCACTCCGATGCCCGGGAGAGCAGCCCAAAGCTGCGAGATTCTGTGTGTTTGAGGCCTCTTATCGCAAATTACCTGTCCTTCAGATGTGTTGGGAGCCAGATGACGCACAGGCTACGCAACACGGCGGGCTCAACAGTGTGTAAATGTGAAGGGAATGTGGTTTGGGAGGTGTGATGCAGAAGGGAGAGGCATAGAAAGCTTATGTCTCGTTGCTTCAGATGGGGAGGGTCCGCCTCCAGAGGCAGGATCAGGTGGCCTCTGTCTGCTCCCAGTAATTGAGACGACCCTCAGTGTAATGAGGCAATAATGCTACTTCCTGTCTTTCTTGTCGGCTTTCGATTTTCCTCCATTTTGTCACCAATCAGAAACCTTCCACGGGTTAGTGACCATCTTTTCAGCTCAGTCCAGGGACGTAGAAGCACAATCTCTCACTGCAGAATCCAGCGTTTCATATCAGTACATCTAGAAAAGGAAATAATATTTTTGACAAACTTAGCAGTCGCACGATCTTTGGCACCCTTGCTATCTCATTATACCAGTTGAAAAGCATATTGTCTTCTTCCGTTACATTTCACAAAGTTCAGACGATTATCTTTACACAATCTCTACAACAATACGCCCTTTTCACTCCTGCTCACCTCACAGGTCTTCTACTGGACTGAGGCGACTCTATCCCTAACTGGAACAAGGTTCGGTTTGGGTCTGGTGTGTTGATTTGACCGGATGTTTTGGGTCATTTTCTGCTAAAGGAGTCGTGGCTACCTAGTTTCAGCTCGATAGCACATACAGTCTACAACATTTTCATTCAAAACTCAGTTATATTTAAAAAAAAAAACATGTGATGCCATCCTTTCACACCAGAAAACTTGGAGGAGAATGAAGCCCACAGACCCTCCACCACAACTGGTTGGCAGGTGCTCATTTTCCAAAACCCACATGGAGAGCTCAATCTTATCGGACCAAAGTTATAAACTTCCCATCTCTGAGTTTGCGCCTGTAAACCAAAAGAGACATTTGTTCCTGCCACACCTTGCTTTTTATTGTGCCTAATCATGGAGACAAGGTGATCATAAAATGCTTCTCGTGGACCTTGCTCCAATCATGTTTACCACATTTCCAGTCATTTCAACCTTCTATTTATTGCTCTGATTGTAGAAATTGGCAAGTTTAGGCTGCTTCCATGAAGCCATTTCCTCACTTCTATAAAGAAAACACTTGCCTTATTTGAACAGGTTATTTTATCTCATACTTGGTGTTTTGGAGGTCATGGATTTTTAAGAAGTCTGATTAACTGAAAAACTAACACATGCATTGCAAAATAATTCAGTTACATTTTCTTCAGATGAGGTGAGTGGGTTTGTAAAAGATTGATTTTCTTCCCCCTTCTATTGACTAAAATATAATCAAGTTAAGGGTTGAATTTTTCAGTGTTAGAAGCTTCACTGTCACTGTTATAAAAACAGATTCATTTCAAGGCTTTAGACGCGCCTCTAGCAGCCACAAATGTCTGTTTTTTTTTGTTGTTTTTTTGCTTGCACCAATGTTCACATGTTTTCCTTTTCTGCAAGAGAGAGAGAGAGAGCCAGTGATCCAGTGGGGTCTGCATCATTGTCTCACAGACCTCCAAGGCACTCCTGTCCACTAGAGGTTTCCATAGAGACACAGACAGGCAGCACTGTGCTGTGGGCGCAGAGAGCGTGACAGAAGACAGGGAAGACCCACACACTGAATACGGGGGAGTAAGATACAAAAAAAAAAAAAAAGCAGATACTGAGAG